CGCTCTTGATGAAAGGGAACCAGCGACTGGTTTTGCTGTTATTCCTTACATAAAGGGTGTTACGGAAGACATCAAGAGAATTTTGAATAGCCACAACGTTAAAGTTGCTCAAAAACCTTTTCAGACTTTGGGGCATATTTTCGCCAAACCTAAGGATCCTGTCACGAAAGAACAACGAACCGACGCCATTTATTCTATTCCTTGCAATGACTGTGACAACGAATACATCGGAAAGACCAAACGTTAGTTTGGTACACGGTTAAAAGAGAATCAAAAAGCGGTTTTTCTTTGCAAAAAGGAAAATTCAGCTTTATCGGAGCATACATGCCTAACCAACCATACAATTGGGTGGGATAATTCTAAAATTATCACCACTAATCGGCGTTACCACCAGCGCCTTTGTTTGGAGGCTTGGCATATTAACTCCGCCCACGCTCCTTTAAATCGTGACGATGGCGGTTTGCTTCCTGACAGCTATTTTCACCTCGTTAGAAAAAAGGCTGTTAATTAGTGATCATATAAAGGACCTCTTGTTGCAGCGTTTGAAGGCACTAGACAGGAGTGTCGAAACGTTGGGTCTATGAATCGTAACTTCTTCGGTTACATTCATTAAATCTGCAAACCAGAGTAGCATCAAACTATGTCTGATTGTTTCTTCATCTTTCCTATCGAGTGTCAGTGTGCGCCTGCCTCTAAGGTACATCAAGTCAGCAATCAAAACCTTCGTTCCTTTTGATACGAAAGAGAATCAGAACATGGAAACTTTTTGCCTTTACTTACTTTGCTTTCCCTTTCCACCCAGGGATGTTGGTTGCTCCCGACGTGTGGCTCTCGTTCATGATAAAGCAACTCCCTCAAGATCAGAAAGATCAATCAAACTTAGTTATCTATGGATGTCTTGCTGTTGTATCCCTCATGTTTATATTGACAAGAACATATGTATTACTCTCCTGCTTTTTGCGATGCTCTGAGCGTCTTCATGACAAGATGGTCGTTGCCACTTTACAAGCTCCTGTTTTATTCTTTGATTCAAATTCCGTGGGAAGAATCCTTAATCGATTTTCCAAAGATATCGGCTGGTTGGACGAGCAGTTACCAAGGACATTTCAACTAGCGATCGACTCAACCTTAAATGTGCTTGCATCACTAATTGTCCCGACTGTTACGAATCCTTGGCTTATTTTCATACTTATGCCATTGATTGTGGTTGCTATACACCTGTCCACGTATTATTTGAAGACATCCCGGGAAATTAAGAGGTTAGCGTCTATAAGTCGTAGTCCAGTGTTCTCTCACATTTCGGAGACCCTTGATGGACTGGAGACGATTCGAACCAGAGGGCGACAAAGTGATTTTGTGGATCAGTTTTACAGGTGGGTTTGCCTCGTATTAATTTTAAAAATTTATCCAACTTGCATTTTGGCTTAGTACAATGGATTTTCAGAAATGAACTACTTAATTTGCAGAAATAAAAGAAAGACGTCATATCGTCATTTCCATAAATAGTTACTGCAAAGTAATGTATTTCCCTCTGAACAAAACGGGTACCCGACATCTTAGGCTCGATTTCCGCCGATCTCTAGTGTCTGATCCTCGCTCCTTCCCAAAAAGAGACGAGAAGCTGGTAAAGAGCCTACCGTCAACTCAAACAGAAGTTTTTTCCAAATGCCCTGTAAGTTCAAATTATCAAAAAGCAGTGAATAACCCACTAATTTTGACCTATTCACTTGCTTTCTTAAAGACATCATGATGTTCTGAATCAAGCAAACATCTTGGTAATGGCCGGTGGGAAATGGATCAGTGTGCGATTTGAAATTCTTGCATCACTATTTGTTAGTGCAGTGGCTTTTTCAGCTGTTATTATGTCTCAAGAAGCCGGTGAGTATGTATTAAAAAAAACCAATCCCTAATTCGATTGAGTGATCATCAGAATTAAGGTGATCAGTTAAAGGTATGGTATAATGCACTCTCTTAGAACTGAGAAAAATCAGAGATTAATATTGTGCATAATCCTAAGTAGTAGTGGTCAATCGATTTGCAAAAAGGATTAAGTACTTTATTACATCCATTTTTGAAATTACTGGTGATCCTTACAATCTGATTGGCTCTCATTGGTGCGATTTTATCGCACCCATTTTTTGCTCTACATCGCATCTTTTCCCCAACAAACAGGTCTTCATGATGCCAGTTGCATGCAATTGCAATTGTCCGCACAAATGAATCTTCTCAGGTAAACCCCCTGTATTGCCTTGTTTTACTTTCCACGCGTGACAGGATTACTTTTTTGACTGTTAAGTGTGAAAAATCAGTTAAAATCTTATTTGCTTAATTCAATGTTTCAATTTTTCGTCTAATTAGCTTTTGCTGGACTTGCCTTGGCTTACGTTGTCAAAAGACTTGGGCGGTGTCATCACGCCATCCGAACAACCTCAGAGGTTGAGAATCTAATGACGTCAGTTGAACGAGTTTTTGCTTATACCAAGCTTGAGTGTGAGCCTGGATATATGATAGAACGACGACCCCCGGAAAACTGGCCAAATAAAGGAAATATCACATTCAAAGAAGTATCGCTGAGATACTATCCGGGAGGACCGCAAGTGTTAAAGAATATCAAACTCAATATCAAAGGAGGAGCAAAGATCGGTGTTGCTGGCCGGACGGGTGCTGGAAAGTCATCTTTTGTGGCAGCTCTAATGCGCATGCCTGAGTCGTGTGGTGAAGTAATCATTGATGGTATTCCAATAAAGGCAATCAACCTCCAGGAAACTCGACGATGTGTATTTGTTCTTGGCCAAAGTCCAGTACTGTTCAGTGGATCACTGAGGAAAAATCTCGATCTTACTGAGCAGTTTACCGATGCAGATTTATGGCAAGTTCTACAAGATGTGCAACTTAAAGAATCAGTGAAAAGTCTTCACGGGCAACTTGATCATGAACTGTTGGAAAATGGTGCAAATATCAGTGTTGGAGAACGACAGCTGATCTGTTTGGCTCGTGTGCTGTTGCAGCGAAACAAGATCATCTTCTTGGATGAGCCCACTGCAAACGTAGATCCAGAAACAGAGAAAACAATCTTGGGCGTAGTGCGTGAAAAACTGAGAGACTCTACGGTCATCACTATAGCTCATCGATTGAACACCATCAAAGACTGTGATAAAATTTTACTTTTGAAACATGGAACGGTAGCAGAGTTCGACAAATTTGACACTATGGTGAACACAGAGGAATATGAGTTGGATGAAATGGCGCGAATTGCAGGTTCCAAAACAACGTAACTTCAGATCGCCTATGAACTTTTTCTCAGCCGCATTCTGTAATTCCTATTGTTCGCTATCTTTTGTAAGCACTCTTTGTTCACTATACACCAAACTTTATTTATTACGGGGAAGACCTTTGGCTGGTTTTTATATTTTAATTATTTGTGGCTCATGCTACTTTATCATAAGTTCTCCTAACTGTTATTTACATTTGTATCAAGAGGATCGCTGTTTAAGTATACTTGTCGACTAGTATCCTCATGGGGACTCATAATTTTTTCTTTGTTCCACGCTCGTGACAAGTCGAAACACATCTTTCTCTATTTCTTTACCGAGCTTAAAACTTACCATCTCTCTTATTCTATTTACAAACATGAAGCTAACGACATCGCTGATCCTAGCAGTATGCAGGAAGCGTGTCATTTATGAACTTCGTAATGGGCTTTGCTCACCATAGAGTCCTTGCGACTCAGTATTACAGCATCGGAGTGTGGAATACGAAGATCTGTAGTTCGATTCCTAATTGGGACTCAGAATTTTTTCTTTGTCCCACGCTTTTGACAAGTCGAAAAACATCTTTCTCCACTTGTCGGCTAGTATCAAGCAGCTGTGTAGTAGCAGCTGAAATATTCCTTTAGAAATTTTCTTGTCCTCATTGAATTATTTTCCATATCGTTTTTTATGGGCATTAAAAATATAGGGCTTTCTGTAGTTTACGATAACGATCTCGACCTAGAATTTCGTCAGAATAAACCACTTGGAGAATCAAGTACAGTTTTGGTGTGACTGACAATCATTTTTGAAAGTAGATTACGGCCGAAAAGTAAGTTCTTGGGAATATTGGAGCTTGTGTTACACAGGTCCACAGGATTCGCTGCTATTTATCTCCAGAGACGACATGCCAGGAGGATAGAGAATTATATAACTGTAATCTTGGCACGACATGGCAAAGATAATGTTCGTTCTACCTGCTAATGGATCATGTCATGTGTAAGAGTGCAAAAAGTGCGAAGAATTAATCCTTAGGAGGCAAATTTACTTAACCTTCCCTCGTCGGCCAGAGAAGGCATAGGTCCTAATAACTTGGAAAATTTTTTTGAAATCACTGAACATGACCAACACTTCATTCATTTTGTCTCGTTCTCATGGAATCACTTGATCGTAATAAGGCAATGAAAATAAAAAAGGTCTACACTCTAAATGCAGTTGGAAAAACGCGAAGAAAGCTTCAAGTGGAAGAGCGAAGGCAGCAAGCAACGCTATATTTTTTTTTTTTCATAAGGTGGTGAACGCTCAATTGGGTAAGAATAATCTAACAACATGGAAAATTTCACGACCATAAGTTAAACATTGGAATTTAGCCCCCATTTCAACTCTTGCACCGGCTGAAGCGAGCGTAGGAGAGCATAGTATTTTGATGTTAATCAAATCCATATTCCAAACGCACGAAATCTTTCACAAGTCAAAAGGTGAACTCCTCGACACCACAATCTCGCTATCACGTTTTTTGTGCCAAAATAGTTTATAGTCTAGTCATTTCCACCCGTTATAGACCTTGTAATCCAGACTGCCTCCATTTACGGCTTAAGGTACAAACTTAAGTCGCTTTTCCTCTATCTTTTTTATATAATCGTCATCAACTTGAATTGCACAATTGGACATGCGCGTTCAACGTCTATTCTACCGTGCAGAAAACATAAATGTAATCTAGAGGAAAACGGCTCTGAACAACCGGCGGCTTTAATTTTCGCATGAACCTACTTCCTCCACAGTGGGGCCTGAAAACGAAAAAAAATTAATATACTTCAAAATGTTTGAAAAACGCAGGAAAAGACACTACGAGAAGAAAGAGTATGCCTTCTGTTCTACAATCGAGCAAATTAATTAAATTCAGCCACAATTGGTTAAAATTTTCAAGAAACTTCTAGAAGTCAATCGCCACATCCTGACATCTTTTCCCTTTAAAACCCATCGGGAAAGCGCAATGGGGACCTGCGTGTGGGTCTTTCTCCGGGCCTTGAAACGTGTCCCACCACTGAGGCAATAAGTGTCCCTGAGTGGCGGGTCACATTCAGCAATTAAAAAAAAATGATAAAGACAAGGGACCTTTCCGAATTAAATTAATGTGGAAGAGATGAAGCTTAGCTTGAACAACTCTTTTTGATTTCGAATCACTTTCTTTATAGTGTGCGTCTTCTTCTTCTTCTCTCGATATCATCGTTCAGCTAATTAGGATAGCAGTGAAAAGTCTCAATAACAGAAATATAGAAACATTTATTGTAGCAGTGTACGATCTACGGCACATTTTACAACAAAAACCATTTTTTTCTTTAAGGGGCCAAATTACTGTTGGTCATTGAGGTGCCCGCAAGAAAGAGAGTTGAACGCTGTGAGATAGATAATATCTGAGAAACTTATAGGAAGTCCATGTAAAAACAAAAAAAAAAGAAAGAATTAATTAAATCAAATAGAAAGAAACGTTTGCGCGTTTTTTCTTCCAACATACCACTGAAAATTATAATAATGGATTTGCTAAAAGGAAAATGCTTCTTAGTGCCAATGCTACAAATAACCTTATAACACCATTGAACAGCTATAGTTTCTTCGAATCGTTTCAATCAGAGATAGCTTCAAACGGTAATGTATCTATAGATATAGACCTAGAAAGTGATTACCATAGTATTTTCAGACCAGCCGCCGCTGCAGAAGGACGATATGTTATTTCAAGGTTTGTTTTGTGGGTACCAAGGATGATATTCAATTATAAAGGTGAGAACTTATTCCTTGAAAAGTATTTGAAAACACACACATGGCCCTGTCTGAAAGAGAGAATAGAGATCGCAGTAACATGACAACAAAACGTAACATTCAAAATAACTTCTAGCGTTATGAAAACCAAGACACGTTTTAGAACAATCT